GTTTGGTTTTTTCTAGGAGAATGGAAATAACTTAAACAACGGGAAAGGAGAAAATATAATGCAACTCCTTTTGATTTACGATGTTTGTTTTAAACAAGAAAAGAAATCACAACCACCAAAAACCCATCCAAACACCAATCTACTTCTCTTTCCTCTTACTCTATGGAAATCGAACCACCAAGCCACGACACTTCACCACCCCCCCCCCCACACACACACACAGATCGACCCCTGCCGCCCTCCCCTTTCTCCAAACCACCTTCTCCTTCTCGAATCCCCCTTCCTCCTTCCCCTTCCCCTCCCCAAAACCTTGGAACCCCAACCCCCCCCCCCTCCTTCTCGAATCCCCCTTCCTCCTTTTCCCTTCCCCTCCCCAAAACCTTGGAACCCCAACCCCCCCCCCCTTCTCGAATAAAACCCTTATGCTAGGATTTCAAGGGTGGGGGGAGGGGAAGTTTGGGGTTTTTTTAGGGATGGGGGGAGGGTTCATTAGGTTTTTTCGATGGGGGATGGGGGGAGGGGGATTTAGGAAGGAGAAGGTGGTTCATTGGGAAGGGCAAGGGTGGGGGGGAGTTGTTGTAGGGGTGGGGGAGGTAGCTGGGTGGTTTAGTGGTGGGGATAGGGATAAGGTAGATGGGTGTGGTGGTATGGTGGTGAAGATAGTGGCTAAGGAAAGGGAATGAAAAATCTTAATGGGGTAGGGAATCAACTTGGAAGACTTTGGGGGAATAGGGAGGGGTAAAGGGAATGAGAAAAAAGGCCAAACAAACAACATCAAAGAGAACAAGGATAGTTGATTCTCTTACCCTTTGATCAATATGCCCAACCAACCAACCAAATGTCCTCTTAATCTTTATTGAAATGTTATGCCTCTTAATCTTTATTAACAATGTTATTTAACATTACATTGTCAATAAAAGGGAAGATACTACATTACCAAGTTGTGTTCAACGGAGGAAGGTACAATCACTTCAAACCAATATATTTCTATATGTTCAGAAGAATAAAAAAACTTCAGCACTAACAAGAGTTGAGTATAAAACTGGGTACTATCTTTTTGTATTTTTCACTTTTTGGGTACTCTATGTTTTTTTTTTCACCTTTTAGGTACTCAAGTTAAGAAATCGGTGACTTAACCCAACATAAACCCACCGGAAAAAAACATTGTACCTTAGCTAATTAAATGCTGAAAAAACTCAGTCCCTTCATTGAATTATTCATATATGACAATTATGAGGGGACTCGGTTTTTGCATTAAAACCTTTATAATGTTGCGTTCATATAATAAAATTATTTCTCTTAAGTTTAAAGATCAAAATTCATACGGAGTACTAATTAACATGGATAATCGCTACTCACACCAAATAACGGGTGGTTCAATTGGTATAAAACATTGCACAGAAGCAGTAACTCCATGTCTCTTGTAACACTCATCTTTACAAGGAGCATCAAGTACTTTATCATGATCGCAAACAGTACTGTAATCCATGGGAAATATTCCACACATTCTTTTCCTTCCACCATAATCATGTTCATGCTTGCTTTCTCTATACAAAATAATAATTTAATTAGTTTAAACTAAGTAACAATCAACGTTATTAAAGTCAGAATTCTATTTTTAATCGAAAGGGGCTTTCAGAATCGAAAGCTAACATGCATAATCAAGACATCAAAATATATATATATATATATATATATATATATATATATATATATATATATATTATTAACTAAATAACTTTGTGAACTTATAATGTTTTCGTTATTTAAGAAAAATATGTAAAACCGGGAAATATCGTAATTCGAATCATAAGGTTATATTACTCATATATGAATAATTAAATCATACTCCATAAGATTCAATGATTTGAATTGTGATTTCAATAATACATTAATGCAAAATAATAGGGGACTTAGTTTTTTTCGTTTCCCATGGTCTTTTTTAATTGGGTCCCACGTGTTAACCAAGGTACTCAGTTTTTAACTCATCTTTGGTTAACTTTTGGCTAGAAAATGCCTTTGAGTACCTAAAAGGTGAAAAAAAAAACATAGAGTATCCAAAAGGTGAAAAATCTAACAAGATAGTACCTACTTTTATACTTAACTCGCACTAACAAAGGGTTGAAACTAAGTTTTAACTTTGGAACATTACATTCATCACTGACCAAAACGATGAAACGAGGTGAGAAATCTTAATTCATCTTGAACAAAAAGTACAAAGCCACATAATTAACTCTCGACATAAATATGCAACAAAGATTGTTGAGTGGCCTTTAGAAGCCTTAAGGGCAGTAAATTCGCACAAACCCTGTAATATGAGTCGGAAGCCTCGAGGCCAGTATGTTTGCTCAGAAATCTGTTTTAGACGGAATCGGATACAACCTTGAAGTTTCTTCATAGGAAAAACAAGTCACGGTGGCAACCACATACAATGCAAACAAGGGTGAGATCAGCTCCATTTTTATCAATTGGCAATAACTTTCTGCATCCATTTACCGCATACTCTTTAGTGTTAGAAGCAAGTTATGTTTTGACGGTCCATATCAATCAAACACCAAACTAGAAAGGCATAATCAGTTGAGTTGCTGACTACCAACATCAACATCATTTGTGTATTATCTTATCTTCCAACCAAGAGGCGAAAACTCAACGAAAGCAGTTTGAGTGTTTGACGAAATGGCACAACAGAACTGGAAAAATGCTCTCTGGTGCTTTGTGCCTAAACCATTAACCTTACTGTTTCACCTCATATTGCTTCATGGACTAATTAAGTACTTTCTAAATTCTGAATATTCCAACAAACCCTCCAACTAAAGGATTTTAAATATCGAGATTTAAATCCTAGAAAGATAATGCGGTGTACAGGAGTTTTACAAATCCCATCTTTTCTGGCCAACTGATCGTAGAGGGTAATTCCTAATTGTAAGATAAAGTAATTGGCTTACTCAATACCTTAGATATTGTAGATCCGCTTTACCCTAATCCTTAAACAAATGATTTTATGTAAATACTGATGAGTCGGTAGTGTAGGCTAACCCACCGGATTTAATGAAGTTTCCAAACATCGTACAGATTATTCCTGAATCTATATATAGATTTATCACAGATGACAGATGATTCCTGAATCTACATCAGAATTATCACAGAAAACTATATCATGCACATGGCATCTTATAACACAAACAAGAGAAGGATTTTTAAAATATATCATCTGCTGTTTGCTGGACCAATGTCTCCGGAAAAATTATTTCCACAAAGATATTACTATCTAGGGAAAGGACTCTCAAAAATTGAATGTTAAAATAACTAATGGACTTATTGCTGCGGAAACTGGCAGACACTCAAACATTACATGCAATTAGTCACATAACCAAGGAAAAATCTTGCAGTAAAAGTCAAGCCTAGTTTCAAAATGTGCTTTTTGTCACACGCACAAAAAAAAAAAAAAAAAAAAAAAAACAAAAAACAAAAAATGGCAAGAGAGAAAATAAATTATCTCAATTTCTGCCTGTAGAATCCCTCACCTTAATGATCCAGAATACTGTGAATCATGAAGTATTTAATATTTATGTTGTTGCCAAGCAAAGGCTTATAATCATGGAGCGGTAGTGAACATTAAACATGGTTAGAAATATTACCTTTGCATTCAGTAATGCCTGGATTAATGCTTATCTTTCTCCCAGCAGCTGGAATGGACACGGCCTTATATCCTGCAGTCAATAAATATATGCCTCATTTAAGAGAAAAAATAGCAGAAAGGTTCTCATTCCAGTGTAGTATGTATGGAAATGCCAACATGAAACTTGGTACAATAGGTGCATGTTAATGGAACTAAGTTCATTAAGTAACCCACCTGGTGGTTTAGAGCTTAGTTCGGTAGGTTCTGCAAAATGCCTGCACGATCATTCTCTTCTTATGCACACTTTTTGCCAATTTCTTCTCACTGTATCTGTTTTATTAATCATAAACATGTGACATGTAACTGGAGCTGGGATAACTCAAGACTCAACAATATGGACAATTTCACCAAGATCCTTGTACTATCATAACTGTACCAGAACTAGAAAACCATAGAGAGTGACAGTATCAAGCTAAAAAGGTGAGTGCAAATTGCTAGGACAAGTTCAGAAATCAAAATACCGTGTTTTTAGAACTGTTTGACCTTCCATTGCCCAATAAAACCTACAGAACTTGCAGCTTCCAAATCATACAACTCCAACCAAAAGTCACACAAATTTCCAATCATGACACAGTAATAGCCATCATCTACCATAGCATTCAAGTAAATCACTCACGAAGCAAGCACATGTATAAAAATGCATATACATTGAGAAAACAGAAAAGGGCATGCTTGCAATGGATTGCTGAAGTACATGCCCTGGAATAGCACATGTATCAAAAGGCATATATTTAAGCAAGCACCTGCATTGGAAGTTGTTATCCATAGTAATGAATGATATCAAGATTGGATGCAGTAGTTCATGAGACTGAAATCAAGATGTCTTCAACTCGAAGACTTAATTTGGACAGAGGCTGATCAATCTGTAAAATGATTCCCTTTAAGTCTTTATCAATACAAAATCTTGTATATATTAATACAGACTAATCCAAAGGTTGCCTGAAACACCACACCTTGATTGAACCAAAAAAAGCTGGTTTCGAAAGATGTGAAAGCTAAACAACACTATAGTAGAACACAACTTTCAAGCATGTCTTATATACAGAATTGACTAGGGAGCACCAAAAGCATGAGTTGTTTTTTTCCCCTTTGCTTCTTCCTCAATCCGAACTACAACAAAACTGAATTACACCAAACACGAACAAATTTCAATACGGACAAGCCTTTCTGCAAACATTGAGACCAAGAACAAAAAATATTCATAATCTCATAGTAAGAGGAGGGAAACAGAACAGATAGCAATAACAGGAAACTCCTGATAAGATAAAAATGAGCATCATACAAACAATAAGCACTATAATAAAATCAAATATCATGAGCATTAAAAGTAAATTACGAAAGATAGTTCTATTACCACTGTAAGCATGACCAACTGTATGTATGTAGTTCTTACAACTTATTAGCATCAACTTTATTTAAAAACAAACACTTCTGTGCTATTCAACTTTTCTATTGAGTATATTCATGAAATCAAAAGAGTACAAACACATTCTATTTCTTGATCTTTCGAGCCTTCCTCGGGCCGGGAACTTCCATCCTACCAACAGAACATCCACACCTAGCACGAAACACAAGAACAGCCCTTCCATTTGGGGGTGCAATCTTCTTAAGCTCGGTTTCCAATTCGCGATGATGATCACGGGGCAATTCAAACAAACCCCTCTTAACACCATCCTTTGCCATCGTATTCGAGCTCTTTACACATTCCTCAGTCTCAAGCTGTATGTCAAATTCAGCAGCCTTCCAAAGACCACGACAACCCGAATTCCCACACTTTCGAGTTGTGCACATCACAATCCCCCAAGCAGCCATTCCTACGCACACCATACTAAGCGCCAATGACCCATAAATAACAGGATTCTCATATATCTCATCTTTCAGAATTGAACAAACTAAAGCACCAATCTCAGCAACTTTCATATATGTAAAACTAACATATGGAAACAGCAAAAACCCTATTGCCCCAATTGCAGAAATCAACATAATCACATCAAGAACAGCAAAACGAGATTCACAACAACTTGAAGAAATCTGATGATTAGATGAATTGGGTATTTTTCGATTCTTCGAAAGCTGATTACTTTGCTTTGATTTCATGTATGTATCAGTAAGACTCATTGAAACTGTCATCGTACTAGATTGATCAACAGAAGAATTTTGATATACCATCTGAAGAACTCAATCCAATTCAATTCAATTCAACCCCAGATGATCAATTTCTCACAGAAACTAAAATTAATCAGAAACACAGTAGTTCATCCCCAAATTAAATCAAAACCCATCAAATTAAACTCAAAATCAGATCAAAAACTGATAGAACAAGTGATGATTGGGTCAAATGCACCTGAATTAATCGAACCCCAGAAAAATTGAACCTTGAATTACCCACGATTGATAAAATACAGATAAATTGGTAACTCAATCTATAATCAACTGACTAAAAACTCAATCAAGATGATCAATTTATTGGATTGAATACTGTAGAAGGCTTATTTGAGGGGTTTACCAAAGGAAGAAGGAAGAGAAATGAGACGACAAATAAAGGGGTGAAATGAGGAGTAATGGTGATCACATCTATGTGTAAGTTTAATCGATTTTTATATTTATTTTTTGGTGTGTGATTGCGAAAGAGTCATACATACTGATACACGCCAAGTCGCCAAGTGCATATTGGCCTATAATTTGACGATGATGATGTTACCATTTTAGCCCATTAACGCGTATGTGGTCTTACTAAATACGAGCTAGTAGTGAAAAAAGTCCACAATATATCCCTCCATTTCATATTTTTACTTCTTATCGGATTGCTTATAAATCTACACCTTCTATTTTAATTTAAGCATCTCAATTTGACTAGCACATTTAACAATACACAACTTTAACTAACGATAATTTTAAGATGAAATTGGCCAGAACTAGTGGCATATCCAGCAATTTAAAAGTGTGGGTTCGGAATCATTACAAAATAAGATATTACTCCCCCCTCTCCCCCCCCCCCTCCCGGTCTTATTTAATTGCAATGTTAGGGAATTTATGCTTGCCAATACAAATTCTATAACCTAAATATCTTAGATTACATTTTTGTAAAAATTACAGAAAGTTGATATCATTAAAGCATTTTTCTAGATAAATTGAATCTAACAAGATATCATTTAGCTGTAAATAATTTTCCCAACATGAGAATTACAACTAAAAACAATAAAAAGAGTGTGAAAATATTGTAAAATTACAAATGTTGCAAGTAAAAAAGAATGTAGGTTACATGGAAATCGAACCTTTGTCCTTGAAGCAAAAAGGAAAAAAAAATTAAAAGGCTAAGAAAAGAGACATAAAGCAGAAAAAATTAAAGGAAAAATACACTTTAATAATCCCAACTATGGGTGATTTACCTACAATAATCCCAACTATCGATTATTCTACAATAATCCCAACTATTAGGTCAGTTTTCCTCCAGCAGTCCCAAACCGGTCAACAAAAGTCAACAACCTATTATTGAAGGTTGTTTGACACGTGTCAGCGTGTGAGTGGTTCTAAAAAAATTGAATAAAAAAACAAACAAAAAAACCAAAAAAAATTCCAGCAGCCACCATTCCAGCCCTTAACCACCACCACCACCTCCACCTCCTGCCGCAACCCTAAAACACCACCTTCTCCACCCACCCACGCCGGAAACGACTCCCAAGACCAGCCGCACCCCCGAAATCGGCCAAAGCACCTATCCCTTGCCCGTGAAACCACCAGCAGCGACCCCAAATCGCACCAAAATATCCTTGTGCCACCGCAAAACACTGGGGCCAACCCCCAGCCCCTCGAAAAATGGCCAACCGTCTCCCCTAACCCTCGAAAATGGCCGACCGGCCCTTCCTAACCATAAAATCCACCTTCGCCAGCCCATAACCACCCATATACCACCGAATTCGACCTTTAAAAACTTCCACTCCCAAACCACTAAACCCTCGAAAACAATCTTCCCACCATAAAAAAACGACCCTCCTTTCCACAACCCTCGAATTCGCCCCCATGGGAAGTTTCAAGGGTGTAGGAAGGGAGGAGGAGTGGTTGATTTTTTTTTTTTGAATTGATTTTCCAACGAAGGGATTGTAAGGGAGGAGAGTGGTTTTAGGGGGTTGGGGTTGATCGGGGTGTGTGTTTCGAGGGTAGGGAGGGCCGACCGCCGTTTTCAGGAAGTTAGGGAGGTGGTCGGCCGGTTCCGATTGGCTGTGGGTGGCTGGGAACGACGGTGGTTGGCTGATTCGATTTTTGTTTTTTTTTTATTTTTTTTAAATAAGCCAATCATGTGATGACATGTGGCATTTAAAAAACAAAAAAAAAAGTTTACCCTCTCATCAGGTAACCGATTTTGGGACTGATGGAGGAAAACTAACCTAATAGTTAGGATTATTGTAGAATAATCGATAGTTGGGATTATTGTAGGTAAATCGCCCATAGTTGGGATTATTAAAGTGTATTTTTCCAAAATTAAATAGGCTATAAAAAACAAAATAGAAGAGGAAAATAAAATTAAATAAGCTAAAAAAAGAGAAGCAAATGAGAAAAAAGGGGGAAAAATTTAAAAGGCTTAAATTAAGAGGTTATCGAGAATTGAATCGATGACCAGTAATCCCAATGTGCTCATTTATATTCAGCCCAAAACCACTCTGCTATTTTCTCATTTACATCAATTGCATATATTCCCTCCGTCCCTTATGGCCAATTTTAAGTCTCAAAATGATAGTCACATTTGCTTTTTTTCAAGTAGCATTAATATTAATTTTTTTACCAAAATTTCCTCCAATTTGCAACAATATTTGTGCAAATTTTAACTTTTCCATGTAAATTTTGTTGAGTTCGTATCCGCACACAAATTTTCATGCGGATGGCTTGGCAGATATGTATTACTTATTGGCTGATATATTTCATGTGTTGGCTGATATGGTTTTTGTGTTGTCTAATACATCCCTTTTGTTGGCTAATATTAGACATCATTTGGATTATATGTTTCTTTAGTTGGCTGATATTGTAATACCCCGGAAATTTCCTTAATTTAAATTACTCTTTTTATTCTATTTAAAACTATTTTAAAGGAATAACCAAAATATTACCGCCACCATGATAACGGCTAAGATTATTTTTCAAAGTCACACAGCGGAAGTCTAAATTAAAAACCAACTTTTAAAATAATACTTGAGTTCGCAACCTCCAAACAAAATAAAATCTTTAAATCACAAGTTGGAACCATTCCAAATATGGCTCTTTCAAAAATCCAACTTTAAATAACACATAAAGGTTAGTCCAAAATAATTAATTCAAAACATAAAACTAGGAAAGCATAACAAGTAACTCGACAATCGTTACGAAATACAACAACGTATTGTTTACTCGAAAAAACACTCCTCTCTAAAAACAAGAAAAAACAGAGCCCCTCTCAAACCTCCCCTGCCGCCACCGGCCGGAGCACCAGTGCTTAACCAAGGTCGTCGGCGAGCATTTCTTGACGACTTCGGTGACTATTTATCCGTGGTTCCTCCTAGCTAACCCAAACATTCCAATTTTCTGGAAAAAAAAAGTTAGGGTTAAGGTTTCGGATTTTGATTTTTGGGGAAATTTTTTCAATCTTCTACCTTTCCCATATCAAAGGACTAGCGATTGGTTTTAATATTGCTGTTAATTTGGGTGGTGTAGGTGCAGCGGCGCATCTATCGGGGTTCTGCCAGAGTTTCTTTGTAATGGGTTTTATGGTATGTCTTGTTTTGGTTATGAAGAAGCTTGTTTTCTCTTTGTTTATCAGTTTGTACCTTAGTTTCTAGTTATTTGGTGTTTAAAGCTTGTCTTTGTTTTAAGTTATTATGGATAAGTTTGAACTTAGGGGGATTTTGTGTATTGCTCATATTGAAGAAGATGATATTTCTTCACATAAACTAGAACTTTTAGTTGGAAAGTTGGAGAATCCTTTTGGTATTTTTGAATTTGTCAGGAGTTTGAAAGATGAAGGTAATGTTTTCTACAAACAGTGTAATGTAGGATTAGCGCTTTCTAAATACTCTCTTGCACTCAAGCTTTTATCTTTTGTTACGATGGGTAATGATGAAGATAAATCAGTTTTTTCGATCCTAGTTGTGTCTCTTAATCTGAACTTAGGTGCTTGTTATGTCAAAGAGGAAAACTTTGACAAGGTGGGTCAGTTGTGTTCTGCAGTTTTGTGTTATGATACTACTAATGTGAAAGCTTACTTTAGAAGGGCGGTGGCAGCTTTAGGGATTAATAAACCCGAATTAGCTTTCATGGATCTCACACAAGCAAGTAGGATTGATCCCACCAACAGAGAGTTTCAACAAAAACTCAATGAGGTGACCTCTTTATTGGGTTGGTCTCCGGATTTTGTTATTGAGGCAGTTGCAGTTACAAGAGAGGATAAAATGTTTAGAGATTATGCTAAAATTGGGAAAGAAGAAGAAAAGAGGAAGTTAGGGAAAAAAGGGAAAAGAAAGGAAAGAGATGGTAGTGGAGATGGTTGTGTTCGTAGGTGTATTGGTGTAAAAGATGTCACCAAAAAGGAAAAGGATGTTGATGGAAAATCTTTGAATTCGGAGGAGGGTAAAGATAACCCTATCGATCAAGATCGAAGGCCCAACATTATTGATAACAATTCTGATCTGAAGTCAAGTTCAGAAACAAAAAAACTCAAATCTTACAGGGTCAAGTTATCGGTTTTGTAACCGGAAACGTATTGATTCCTATTTGCATCTCACTCCAACAATGTATGGAGCGATTACTAAGGGACGGACACTAAACTACTATTGCTTTTTCCAAGAAGGATTTTATTAGCATTTGAGTACTCGATCATCCAAAGAAGATGGATTGTGTTGAAACTCAAGAAGTTTTTACACCAATGGAGATTAGTCACCCCCCTGTGAAAGGGCATGATAGGTGTGAAGCAACTCCAAATTTGGCACAAGAAGATTCGACCATAGGTATGGTTGATCAAGTGTCATCATCATGTGAAAGTACGTCGGTGCCCCTTCCAGATGCTCCAGTCTACTCCCCGGTGAAGTCTGCTGCAAGCCCTAACAATTCCTCTTCTCAAAATTTGAAGCTTTTGGTTTCTTCTTATCGTTCCAGAGCTAGAAGGCAAAATCATTCTCTAAGAAGTTTAACTTCCTCTGTTTTTACTAACCCTTTGTTTTGCAGGGTGAGTGGCTCAAAAAGGAAAGCGTCTTATCCCACTGAACTTGTGTGGCTTCCGAATAGAAAGTTGTTATATGGTTCTACCCCTAATGTTCTAGTGTTTACTTTAGTTTATGATTAATTTAGGGTTTTGCTGTTGTAAAAAAAAAAAAAAAAAAAAAAAAAAAAAACAACTCTCGGCAATCATTCCCATCATGCTCTTCATGCTTCAAGTACCCGTCACTTTCCCTTTATTTCAACCCTCTACTCACCATATAAATGGGTCATAGTAAGGCCAACCAAAGGAAAGCCAAACACAAATACAAAAGTATGAATCAGTAAAAGCTGAGTACATATGCACCACACTAACATGAATATCCTATCAATATGAATAGTAATAAAACATGATTGTCATATATTCACAGTCAACTTACCTTTGACTCATAACTTTCAATATTAATTACTTAATTAATAGCTTTGGATTACGCATAGAACGGGTTCTTTCCTAAAAAATATAACTCATTAAACATGGAGCTTCCAACCAGGGAGCTACCCAAATTGGCACTTACTATGTCACACCTTGGTGACGGAATTCTAGCACATAAATAAGAGAATGTACATCGTCCTGTATCCCTATAGAAGATATGGTTAAATATAAATCCCCATAACTCCCCCCATATATTCATACTCAAGGTATATACGTTCCAAGAGTTTTAGTGTGTATCCTCTTACACTTTACGTAATTTATCAATTTAACATGTGAAGACTCTAACCAATCAATCAAGAATAAACATAGCAATAACCAACACATACTTCCAACTAATTCTTGAATTAATTAGTGAGTACATACTATTTATTTTTAATTAAGGTTCCTTGCCTAGTTTTGTGCACAAATTTGCACAATTACTACCTTGGTGCATAAAATGCACTAATAAACTTTCTTGACTCAATCTTAACTTAATCGAGTGAGCAAATAAATAAACTAACTTCCTTGACTCAACACCAATAATAAATGATGGATGAGAATAAAATTCATGAATCATGTTCAATAAGTATAATTATAACTCTTTTAAACATACATAAGCCTTGCTTATTAATTTCATGCTTCCTTGATACTTAAAAATAAAACATACTTCCATGATTCACATATATTCAACTCGTATCATGCTTCAAATATCATATTCACATGCTTGCATAATAATTCATGTTCTACCAACATCAATTCCAATCATATAATCAACAAATCATGCTACTAATTCATCACTTCAATCACAATTCACATCCCTAGCATGATACTACGCATACACAAATATTCTTGTGCACATACGTACCTTGAATAATGCCTAAACTCGGCCACACTTTCTAGAAATCACCTAGCTTGAAACTTCCTATAATTAAAAATACATAACTATAATTAATCCACTATTCTCACACATTTCCAGCAACTATAATACTATTTAAACCATACTAATTAACCCCTTTTAATGACATAAAAGTTATAAAACCTTTTCTTTAAGTGGGTAATTTAAATCCTTTTAAAAAGACTTGATTTTTATGAGTTAAATAAAATTCCAGCATACTTGTTTAGTATTAAACATCACTTTTAGACTAGGAAATCATATATAAATCATTAAAACTTTTTTCTCTTTTATGGGTATTCAAACCCTAACTCAATAATTTAATAGTGTGTTTAATTAAATTTCAGAATTAAATTGAAGGCTTTAGAATCATCAAAAACATGATTAGACCATGAATTAATCAATAACAACAACCTAGCCTTAATCCCTATCCAATTATGCAAAATCCCTAATTTCTAGGGTTTATATTTTAAGGTTTTTAATTAAATAAAAATCCGAAATTTATATCAATAAATTAGCAACATCAAAATCCCAAAATCAACACCAAAACATAATAAAAATCATTCCTTTACAACAATAAATCTATAGAATTAATTTTAGGATTAAAGAAGTTTTTTTTATATACACAAAGAGAAAGAGGAGAAAGGAGGAGAGACGCCGATCGACGTTGCTGCCGCCGCCAATGGTGGCGCTAGTAGTGTGGCCGTGCGTGAGGAGGGAGAAGGAGAGATAGGAGAGTGCGTGGGATTTTAGGGAAAAGGAAGAGGAAAAGAAAGAAAAATAAAGGGAAAAGAAGAGAGTAAAAATAAAGAGAAAACCTTTGAATTTGTGAAGTCTGACAATTATGAACATGTATAAAAATAATCTTGAGTTTTTAAAGTATTCATACTCTCCTTTTAAAAATAAAACTCATATTTACAAATTTTCCATACTAATTCCTACTCCCTTACAAATTCTTCCTTTCGGCCAACTTATTGGGCCCCTAAATTCCCAATAAGTTGGTCCACCCTTTTAAATAGTATTGACCCAATTAAAAAAAATACTTTTGTTGCCTCAATTCATGATCCATTTTATTTATACACACTTACAATTTATTTAAATAAATAATTTCTTTTTAAAATGAAATAAATTATTTTAATAAATAAAATAAATAAAATACATAAAATAATTAATTTATATTTATAAAAATATAATAAAAATACGAAGTATTACAAATATATCTATTTTGTTGGCTAATATGTATATTTTAATTGTTGGTTTATATGTTTCATTTTATTGGCTTACCTGTTGCTTTTGTTTGTTGATTTCATCCTTTGGTTAGCTGATATGCTTCTTTTGTTGGATGATACGTTTTGTCTCTTAGCTGATAAGTGCCTTATATTGCTTATATTGGCTTATACATTACTCTTGTTGCCTGATATGTATCTTTTGTTGGTTGATATGTTCCTTTTGTTGGATGATACGTTTTTATCAATGTCTGATATATCCATAAGATTAACTTATATCAAACACGTATTGGCTGATACATTGATTTGTTTGGCTTAGATGTATCATTAATTATTTTTTTTTTACTCCATTTTCATTTCTCCCCACACACAACTCCCGTGTTGCCCCAAAGAAAAACTCAACTCACGCAACTCCAGCGAAGCCACCAACCAAACCACACACCCACCACCAGCAACTACCCACCACCTTCCACCGCAACTCCCATGTTGCCCTAAAACAGAGCAGCAAAGGCAGCCACCAGCCTCGCCACCTCAGCCACCAGCAACTACCCACCTTCCACCGTACCGCAACTACCCAGCCATTAGCAACGAACATCACCATCACAAATCGCAACAAAACCCATCCCACCCCGAAAACAACCAACTTAATCCCGAAATAACCCATCTCGCCACCACAAATCGCCACAAAACCCATCCTTCCCCGAAAACAACTAGCCTACTCTCAAAACAACCCATTTGCCATTATAAATCGCCACATAACCGCCACCAAATCGCCACAAAATCCTCATAAAATCACCACCATTTGATCCGATGGGAGCTTGAGCTATGGCGGAGACCACGAGGAGGGGGAAGATTGTTGCGATGATTGCTCCTGCCATTGTTGATTTGATGAAGAAGATGATTAAATTGAAGTTTCTAGAAATTCTTCAGTGATGGTGCTGTTAGATAGGTTAGAGTGTAGAGGAATAATGGGATTCTTATTCTTAATGGGTTGCCCGCACGAACTCTTGGGTGCGGACGTAGTTTGTTGATTTTGTTTTTCAATGTACTTTTATTACTTTCTCTCTTTACTTTTTTTTATACCCAATGTATATTTATATTTTCAATATACTTCTACTACTTAATAATTAAGTTTTTAATTCCCGTGATTGTTTCCCATAAGGGAATATCAATAAGGGACGGAGGGAGTATTCGTTTTTCAGCTTTTACCAACAATTTTTTTTTTCAAAAAATCAATGGGTTCAATGAACCCACTTGAACCCATCATAGATCCGCCACTGGCCGTAACACCTTGAAGTATGGGTTTGCTGCACTAAGCACCCCCAAACTTAGCATAGCAGCCAAAACACCACCAACTATGGTGTTAGGTGCAACGCGTGTCCTAAATGAAAATTTCCGGCCACTTACTTCATCGAAGGAGGTGAATCTTCACTCTGTAGAATAGTTTAATGGTGAAAAGTTCTCATCCACTTGGCACGTGGGAATTCACCTCCTCCGATGAATCTCAAGTTCATTGAGAATTGTTGCTAGACGAAAACTTGCATTTTGGTAATTTCTTCACTTTTGCTCTTCTACTTTGATTATCTCTGATTGTATATACTTGGTGGTGGGTTTGTGAACCTTTGTAGACTAAAATGAATTTATTTTACCCTTAATTAAGATAGATTCGTGAAACAGTCCCGTTGTTTTTACTTTTCACATTAAAACAATTTTCCACGTATAATTTGTGTGTGTTCTTTGTAATTTAATTCTCCTATTGTAGGAGTTTATAGGTACAAATGCGGAAAACATGAATCATATTCATACAACACCTAATCCCAAGATTTTGCATAACACATAAAGAATTAGAATTAATACCTTTGAAGCGTGATTCCACGTGCGATCGAACAAGAACAAGGGAGATAAAGAGCCTCAAGCGTGATTCCTCTACTTGGTCCACAGGCACAGATTAAGTCCTCCACTAATGCT